TCGTGAGGGTGACGAACATTATCGTCTTTCTCTTGTTTAAATTCTTCTAGAATGGTTGTTTCTCTGTGGTGTTTTGTATTAGGCTTGTTATTAATTGTTTCCTCACCCACTTCCTCTTGAAGGATATATCTGGTTGAACTGTGTCTGGTCGGGTTGTGAGGGTTAAGCGATGTTCTCAGGGTCTCCGGACTTAAGCCTGAGCGAATGTGTACTCCCACCACTGGATATAAATTGTTTTTTTCCACACCCCTTCCTCACGTTTTACCATATTCACTTTTGAATGTCCTTAGCAGTTACCGTTCTGGGTTTATTTTACGGTTGATTTATTCTTCACATTTTCACGTTTATATCTCTCATTATTATAGTATACTCTGTACTCTCCACATTTTATCATTACTTATCTTTTTGGTTGCTGAGTTACAGGAACTGTTAATTTTGTGTCACTACCCTGGTTGCACTGACTCGTTGTATCCTTGTGTGCAGGACAGCTGTTACTGCTTTCGTCGGGAACCGAGACTGCTTGCAGCCGACCCCTGGGCAGGGTGGTGCCTGGACTCTTTTCTCCTCATCTGCAATGACAGATAAAGACAATGATAAGACCCGAGGAGTTTTTCGAGCCAGGCTTCGACACGTCTCTGTGTTCCTTTGAATGTTACTATTTTTGTGTGTTGACCATTTAAGATGGGTCAAAAGGGGGATTTGAAGAAAATATAATCTGATCAAACATTATTCAGCTTTAAATATTGTTCAGCTTTAAAGTTACTGTGCAACTGTGTAATAAAATGTGCTCACGACTTTGGCCTTGAGAGCGATAAGAAGCGATCGCCTCATCCTGCAGGTGCAAGATATCTGCAAGCGAAGAGACTAGAACACCCAAGGCCGATTTCCTTTTATGGAGTTGTTTTTCTGCTAATGCAGCACTTTCCTCACAACCCCCTCCTGTAAGTTTTAGAGAATATATACCCATCCTCACAGCAAATTAGGAATCTCCTGATGTGAGCTGTGTTGAGAGGTTGTCTCTGTCTCAATAAAGTTCACTGATTCCCCATCTGCCGCAGGTGTCCGGTTGTCTTCATTCTCCGCCAGCCTGGTTAAGTCAATTCCTCCTTAACATCTAAAAGAACCTATTTAATGAAGGAAGACGGGTTCACTTTGTGTTTAATATTATTCTATTGCTGTTGTTGTTTTTTTATATCCTTCAGTACATATTCAGTAAATGCAAAGTATTTACATGGCCCCCTAAATTAAAACATTATGGGTTATTCAGAACAGAACTATGCTTGGAAAAATATTGTCCCATCAGTTGATCCAACTCCTCCACAGTAGCAGGTGGAACTTTTCTTTTTTGAGGATGGCTTCTTTTACCTGTCACAACGAATGGTCTGTTTATGTTTGATCAGAACCTTTTTTTGGGCACTGAAGAGGAGAAGTCTATCTTATGGCCACCTCTGGCTGTTCTTGGTCATATTACCAGCAAAACCCAGTATGCAGGTTCATCTGTAACAGTCCTTTTGCCACAGATCCTCACTGTTGCTTCTACATTAAACAGAAGGCAGTGACTGGCTGCAAGTCTCCAGACTCTAGCCATACAGCTGCAGTGGGCGGCTTCAACCTTCCTGTGATGTCACAATGACCTGTGGCTGCATGCTGCAATTCAGTCTTTAAGAGTGCAGGACCTAAAACACACAAGACAAAGTTCATTTAAGACAAGAACTTTATAGCAAGTCCGACACAAATGTGTTATTTACTTTCAAATCCATTTATCATAAATGTAACAAATAAAGTGTTTTATGTATCCATCTATAGAACGCTGCATGTTATATTCTAAATCTGCATGTTTCTTTTTAGAAACCTATCAGCAAAAATGAACCTAAGTATGTAATGCAAGGATGTAATCACTTTCAAGAGGGAGAAAACATAAAGTTCGACTTTAAGTGACAACTATGGACACCTAATATGACAAGCAGATTCTGCAGGTCATTAATCAATGTAAAAACTAAAACAGAATGTATTTTTAGTGACACAGGACACAAACAAGGAAGCAAGATGTGTAATTAGGAATTATTTATAATAAATATGAATTAATTAGGGCAATTCTTTAACCATAAAGAATAACTAAATCCTTCAGGACAATGTCACATCAATGCACTGAACTCACTATGTTATCCCTCTAACAGAGCCTCTACATGTTCTCACTGTAATTTCCCCTCACGAATGAATTTTGCTAGCACTAATTGAATGCTGGGGGAATCAAACGCATTTTACTCGCCAGTACTCAAGCTGACTTACCTTTGCTTGAATGACGGCGTACTCACAACGTGGAGGCTTAAAAATAGCCAAATCTTGTACCCAGTCCTTGGTTAATTGGATGTGCGCCTCCAGAGATTTATAATTGCGAAATTGGTGCGCCGTGTATGCTCTGACTCCACAGACAAGGTATGAGAGTAGATCATGCTAAGTCAATAGCGGTTTGGTCTTCAGGGTTTCTACTCCACGGCTATATTTCATACGGGTCCACATTTCAACAATCAAGTACCGTCTCTTTGCATCTGGACAGAATCTGTCTCTATACCGTCATTTTCTTTGAGCTACGTTTCAGAATGGTTCGTAGCAATCTTGTTTTGATTCGTGACCTGCCAAGATGGTGCTGCGCTCCCACAATTCATTGCAACATTACGTCAACTCCAAAGCCCTTTGCGTGCAGGAGTGGTATGCGCATGCGCATTGCCACGGTGGTTTAAAAAATAAAGATATAATGAAAAGTAATTAATAAAAATTAAATATTTAAACATTCCCACAAATGTGCAATGAACGTGCAAAAACTCTCTTTAGTAGTTGTTGCTGTTTCTTTCTTTCTTTCTTTCTTCTTTTTTTTTTTTTGAAAAATAACGACGTCTCTGAGGCGCGAAATCTGACAGCGAGAGGAACGGCCGGATACAGGAGACGGGAAGAAACAAGCCGATTATGTTCGCGTTAATTAAGTGGTTGGAAGATGTAAAATTCTCAATTCTGCCAACTGAACATATACGAGATTTTAATGAGGATGAATAATTAGCCGGCATGGAGGAAACGGACCTTTATTTCGTGGAGTGGCGACAAGAAGCCAAGGCGGGTGGCCAGTCTAAGAAGCCTCCATCATCAAGCTAGCAGGTGCCTTTTCCCATATAATATTACTTTATTCTCGTGTATTTGGAACGGAAGCGTAGAGCTGCCACCCAGGCAAAGAGAAATATAAGTATATCACGTTATAACGTGAAAAGTTTATCGTTCTAACAATATACTATCATGTTTGAACAACATGTTTGAACAACATTGTACGAAAAATGTACATAATTATCACGTCGTACAATATTGTGCGAACGTGACAATTATGTATATTATAATAACGTGATATTATATTATACAAACATGAAAAGCATAATGTTAGAACAATAAACATTTCACGTCATAACGTGATACAGCTCTATTTTTCTTTTGCCTGGGTGGCAGCTCCACGCTTCCATAATTTGGTAATCAAAATATGTAACTTAATTAATTATATTGTGACGTACTTTTGCCTTTTCTTATTATTCTGCCTTCTCAATAACTATCAAAGCCTATTCACATTTAATTTGGCTTTCACAGAAATCCTACCTCTCCTTCTGGCTACAGAGTACTTACCAAGGTTAGAAACAAAGAACAGTTATGCTTTATTAATGTTCGCTAATTACAATGTTCCACATTTCCTTGCTTTTTAAGTCATTTTTAGGCTTTTTAGAGTTTTTGTTTTTTATTTTTTTTAGCAGTAATGTTTCTGCCTATTTATTTCAGCCCATGAATCGAATGCAGATCTTCCTAATGTGAGATTTACATAAATGTAAGTAATTTTGTTTGTCATTGTCATTAAATGTTGTTGCTGTTGTTGTTTTTGTGCAGTTTGCAATCATATAAACCTAGCAAGCATCAGTCAGCACAGTGACTAACCTAAACAGATTCTTGCTTTATTCACATATATTATATGTAATTATATATACCTGCACATTGTACCTAGGGTTGCAGCCACTTGGCCCCACCCCATTGTTGTGACAGCCCTGATTGTACTTATACACTGCATCTGAACAGGGAACAGTCTGCCACATTAATGTATTTTTAAGTGACTTGTTTGTAATACATGAATTTGTTTTTTACAGATGTCAAAGTCTCAACCTCATGCTGCCCTCCCCATCCTCCTAAAGTAAGTATTTGTTGTTGTAGTTTTTTATGCGGTGTCTGTGTCACATGCTAATCATAATTATTGAAATAACTGTTTTCTAACAGATTTTCCAAAACACTAGTTATGTTTGTTGTCATTCAGACCAATACTACTGCTTAGACATTGTTTAGTGGTCATGCATGTTTGACAAGCTCGTTATGATACCAAAACAGTAGGCCTATCACAATAATCGATATATCGACTTAACACACAATACATGTACATGACCTCAATAATTGTTGATGATGTAATTTATCCGCCATTATATTTACAAAAATAAAATATAATGATAACAAAACAATAACATTAAATAACATTGTTTTCTATTTGTTAGAAAATTTACTATTTATTCAAGTTTTTAAGGTATCTAATATTTTGATTCCTAATTTCAATGATCTAAATACTTTAAGAATTAGATGTTGGTTTGTCAATTGAAAGTGTGTAGATCTTGCATTATTATGGTGTTATATTATGATTATACATTCAAAGACATAAAATGGTCTTAAAATGACAATGACATAACTTGTCGCAATTGTTTATGGGGCAATATACCGACCAACAAAAAGTCGCTATCGTAACAGGCCTTCAAAACAGACGGTTTTATGATTGATAAATTCAAAAAATAAATACATTTAATTTCTCTGAGATTCTCTAATATTCAGTTACAGTTCACAACACAGTTACCCGTACATGCAGTATTATACTGTAAATATAAATCTCTGCATTTAGCATCCCACTAGAAGCGTCACAGTTACTGCCTCTTTTTTTTTTTTTTTTACAAATACCTGTACTATCACTAACACATTTACTGTTTTACTTTTAGCCTGTGGATACAAATGCAGATTTCCTTAATGTAAGTTGTGCATTTTAATTACATCATGTTATTTTTATTATTATTTATTTATTTATTTTATTTTACATTCAAATATTTCAAGCTTCTTGGTTAAAGAAGCTTGATTGCTAGTAGGTAAAGAATAGTTCACCTATAATTCATATTCCCAATTAATTTCTCACCTCTGATTGAATGCCTTTGTTTGTTTTCCTTTTGACTATAACAAAACATTTTTGCTGGATATATATGGTGAATTTATATGCATAGATACAGTCGTAGTGCTTGACACATGCAAACAGCAGTAGATGTACTAAAAAGGAAATAATTACAATCATGATGTTGATTGCTGATGTCAGTATATATATTTTAGAGGAATGTTTTGTTTTTCACCCAAAATGAACTATATTGCTTCAGAAGAGATTTATTACCCTACCGGACTCTTATATATTGTTCTGTTTTTTGTTTGTTTTTGTTATTTTCAGGTTCAATGGTGCGTGTTCTTCTAATGGCCGCCTTCCCACTGGAGGTTTTGATCCACAGCAATTTAAAAGGTAATCAGCTTTGAAAGTCAGTTCAAATGGTTAGCTAATAGTACTTTAAAAAGCCTACAACTCTGTCACCAGTTTCTTTACCAAAAATTACCCATAAAAGTATCGCTCAATAGCATATATTGTAGTTCAAATGTTTAGTTGTACAAATATCAATTTTTGGAAATCTAAAACTAGTCAAACACTCAAATGTTCATGCTTTTTATAGGAGGACAGAGCAAAACGGACATCGGCGCAGAGTGAAGAACTGCCCTTGATAAGGACACTATGACAGCCATATATAGTAAGTGAAGACTTTCTGTGTATCTAAAATTGCATACAGCACAAGTAACTTACTTTGCAACCATTAAAATAGGTTGTAAAGTAAGTTACCAATACAAATAGGTGATGATGCATTGTAGTGGTTGGTCTCAGACAAAGAAGGTCAACAGATTTATGAATGCTGGAAGGTAAGGAGAGACGACCAAAAGGGGTGTTAGCATTACTGTAATGTGAACTGGATAGACTTCCCATCTAGGAAAAAAAAGAGGTAAAATTATGCGTAAAATATATCTGTATTAATATCTGTATCTATATAAACAGAAATATCTGTTTGCTAAATGAAGCCAGCTAACATAAATCACATTTTTATTTTAACTCTGATAAAAGTAATAGAACTGTGACTTTTGTTTGTTACAGTGGCGGTAAGGAAGGGGTTTCCCAGCGTGTCCAGAAGGGCTTTGAGGATTGCCGTGAAAGCTGGGGGAACTGAGACTGCTGGAAAAGGAAAAGAAATTACATTTTAAGTATGCTGACTTATGTTCATACAATCACACACACATATACACACACACACACACACACACACGTGTGTGTGTGTGTTTCTTTTAGAATGTTTGAGTATGTAATGAGAATAAACTTATAAAATGAAAATTCCTTGCTTGATTGATATGCTATATGTATGTTTTAAACATCAAATAAAGATTTCTTTCAGATGTTACATGTGAATGTGTTTTCTTAGAAATATATGAAGGGTTAAATTTATATTTTTTGAATGATTTTAAATAAATTTAAATTGTATTTTGAAATATATTTTATTAATATATTTCAAAATATACAAAAAATGGCCAAAAAATATGTGCTAAAAAACATTTCAAAATACATAAACATATTTCAAAATGTATTTTAAAATACATTTTGAAATACATTTCAAAATATACAAAAAATGGCCAAAAAATATATGTGCTAAAATACATTTTAAAATATATTTATATATTTAAAATGTATTTTAGCACATATATTTTTTGGCCATTTTTTGTATATTTTGAAATATATTTTAAAATGTATTTTAGCACATATATTTTTTTACCGTATGGGATCACTATGGCATTACTGAGAGTTGAAAAACTGTCTAAAGTCTTTCATCTTTAATAAAATGATCAGCGTTCTGCTCTACCAGGTAAAACAATTGAGTTTAACATCCAGGCATCCATGAAAACGGAATTTATGACATTTAACGGAGTTAGAAGTTAGCAGGGAGTTAGCTCGCTAGCTTCTATCTAAATACAATATAGCATGTCCTGACTGCGGGGTTTTGGAAACAAATTAAAGCGTACAGCTCTGCTATCACTTCCAGCATAAATGAAGACAGAAAACTAAACAGCAGTGATGTTTGTAGGGTTACTGAAGTTGGGCTAGCTGGTATATAATGATGTGCTACGTGACCGCTAGCGACACAGCTATTTTAGCATAATATAAACAAGCTAACTTTTTTTCCACTCGATAAAAGTTAACGTGAGTGTTCTCGGTGGTCAGGAACAAATGTAATCGCATGGCAGGATGCTGTAAAAGGACCAAACTTCAGCCAGGAGAACAACTGAGATAATCCATCCACAATACGAGGTTCGTCATTCATATACTGCTGCATGGGCTGGGCTGTAGTTACATCCTAAGGTTTTAAAAACTGAGCTTAAATAAATGATTAGCGGTAATAAAAGCCGAGGGAGGTCAACAGTGATCACTGACTGTTTTAGGAGATTTTTGAGATCAAATAGAAGAAAATACATAACATTAAACATGTTAACAACACAAAAGCCATATTAAACGCAGACTACTTTAGACCCGGAAGCAGGATTCGTCACGTCATCACTGAACAACCGGATAGGTTTAATTTGGAATTCAAAAATGGGTTTGGACATGGGGCTTTTGAAAATCAGTCTTTTAAATTGAAATTTGAAAACTTTTTTTGAAATGGAGGTTTTTAAAAAGCATTTTCAAAAATAGCCTTTTTTTGTTGGAATTAAAAAATGGTTTTTGTAATGAGATATTTAGAAAAACATTTTGAAAATCAGTTTTTTAAATTTGAAAATGGTTTTTGAAATGAGGTTTTTAAAAAGCATTTTTTAAAAATCACTTTTTTAATGTGGAATTCAAAAATGAATTTACAAACGGAGTATTTATTCTACAATTCATTATTTAATCAAAATTGTTTTATCTCGATGCGCGTGGCTCTCAACTGATGTCGATGGAAATGTAAAGTTTCTCTGGGCAGCTGCAAATAGCTGCTAATAAACAAAAAACATCAGAAAGCAAAGAGGTAGAACCCATACTTTCTGATGTACTAATTACATTTACTAAGTCAGAGCCTATGTCAGATGCCTATCTACTTTTGCTGCCCCTTGTGTCTTTAGGTTTGATTAGTCCCAGCTGTGTTTCCACCTGTTCCCAATCCTTCCGTTAATCCTGCCTGTTTATTTTAGGCTACGTCCACACGTACACGGGTATTTTTAAAAACTGAGATTTTCTGGGGGGGGGTTTTAATCCTGTCCACGCATGCAGTTTTGAAAAAAAATATCTCCACATGTAAACACTAAAAACAAAATTTTGCCCAATCACAAGTCTTAAAGCCTAGGAGGGAAAGACTAAACGTGTTTGTGCCCTCACAAAACCTTAAGTTTCTGGAAAGGCAGCTAATTTTGTGTTACTTTTTAAGTGCCTTCATCATTTCGAATGTTAATAACTAAAGAAAGTATTTTAGTTTGTGTAGACTCACAACTTAGGAATGAACAAAATACATACAGCATTCATAATTCTATTTTTTTTAAATAATTTACAAAAGCCAACTGGATTTGGGTTATGAGAGCATCTGTGTAGAACAGCGGTCCCCAACCCCCGGGTCTCTGACCGGTACCGGTCCGTGAGTCGTTTGGTACCGGGCCACGAGAGTAGAGGCTCAGGTCTGAAACGTATGGTTTTTATTGGTTTTCAGCGTTATTTTGTTACTCTTTGTATCGTTAACTCTGTCTTCCTGGGTCTTTTGTTATGAATAAATGTTATTTTTTTCGGTACCGGTACTACTTTTATTTTGTTGCATTTATCCGCAACACCTTAAAGGCCGGTCCATGAAAATACTGTCGGCCATAAACCGGTCCGTGGCGCAAAAAAGGTTGGGGACCGCTGGTGTAGAATGTAGAAGCCACGTCCGAAGTTTTAAGATTACTTTTCCGTGTTCCGAATCCTGCATTTGGGTTCTTCCTTCTGTCTGCCACAGCACACACCTTAACAATTTCAGTCCTTCATTAACAAAAATTATTTTTTTGAATTTTCATTCTTTTACTGTTTCATTCTTATGTTGGAGAAAACACAATCTAGTTGCACCTGAATACAATTAGCAGGTCATTAGCAACACTCTTGACTGCATGCTGAGGTGGCAATTCAGCCATTTAATTTATGTTACAGCAGCTCATGAGTGAACATGGTGCAATAAAAGTACCTTTTTTTTCTTTCTTTTTTTTTTTAAACACTTACATTTACTTAAATTTACTTGAGTAGGGGTAGGATTAGGGGTTGCCACTTCATATTTACAATTTGGTGGTGAAACGATTGCAGGTATAATTAATTGGTTTGCTTACTGCAATGTGTAGGACCTTCTGTGACAAACTACTGGTTTGTATTTATGGGAGATAGTGTTACAGCCCTCGCAGGACCCCCTCCTGAAATTGTCCCTCGTGTAGGTGTGTCCTGCCATCTCTCCTGCCTTAGGTGCCACCTTGTTTTATACAGCTGACTCCCATCAGCAATAAAGAGTACTTAAGGCCAGAGAAAGGCGAGCTCTCGTGCTAGAGAGGCTTGACCTGTGTGTGTGGTGGTTGAGTGTTCCTGCTCTGTGGAGAGGAGTCTGTTTAGGGTTTTTCTTCCCTCCTCCCTTCCCCTTCTTTCTTTAAAAAAGTGATAGTGGCTTGTCAGTCTGTTTTTGCTTATTTTAGGACACTCAAATTTAACCATTTTGCTTCCCTGTCTCCTCTTCCATCCTGGATACCTTTTTGTTGTTTTCCCTCATCCCCTGGACCTCTTTAGGGGAATGCAAGTCAGGTCAAAGCTTTCTGGACAGAAAACACAATTCAATTATATCCAAAGCATAATTATTGCATTTGTTTTTAAATATTTTCACATTACAGATAACATTCAGTAGGAATTTTTCTACTTCTACACATCACTGAATGCATGTTTTCCATGCATAATTTTGATAGACCTGCCTCTTTAATAATACAAAACATTAACCTTTTGATCTTGATTTCTATTTCTGATATTCTTGTTTTGCAAACATTTTTCATCTTATCCTGCCACAAAAACATAACCCTCACCCACCCACAAATGTTTCATGTTGACCAGATGGGCAACTGTTGCCCTTGTTCCCCATCCAAGTAGTCCTTGTGTAACATTTGTCTAGCTCAAGGGTCAGCAACCTTTAAGACCCAAAGAGCCATTTGTACCCGGTTTGCACGGAAAAGAAAACACTGGGAGCCGCAAATACTTTTTGACATCTAAAATGAAGAATAACAATGCACACTGTTTGTTTGTTTTTACCTTTTATGCTTTGTATAAAAAAACTATAGTGTGTTGCTTATGAAATCCATGAAAGACTACAAAGTAAATTAAATTTTATTTATCTAATGAACACATTTTGAACGCTTTAAAAAATTATAACAAAAAATAAAAACATCCAGTTGAAGGTCTCTTTTAAATGAATTGAGAAGCTGAACTTAAATTATCCATGTAGCAAACAAAAACTGATCCTTATATTGCCTTTGGGCTTTCGGAGCGTGTAGAGCCTTGACCTGAATTTTAAAAATAATTGGAAAAAAGCACTATGCTCCTAAAAAATAAATAATATTCGCAAAATATCTGCATAAATATTTATTTTACCTGGTTAATGTGTATGGCGGGGCGTGGCCTGCAGTGCTGCTGCAGGAGAGGTGGTCGCACCTGAGCGTCATCCGCAATCACTCCTCGCCGCCTTAAAGTCTGCTGTTGTGTTATGTGTCGGGCTGTGTGCTGGAAAGCTAAAGCCAGCTGCATGTGTGAAAAGTGGTCAATAAAGAGAAGCTGAAAAGGATGTTCATGCAAACATCATTGGGTCTGCCGTAGTTTGCAATGGGACTCCTGCTCCTAAACCTCTGCGCACAGCGTCGGCGGACAGGGGCTGTACGATGTCACTTTCGTCTTTACGTAGGACTGCAAGCTGTCGTCTGTGAGGTGTGAGCGGTTTTTGTTTCGACAATCCACAAATTAGGCATGGTAGGCCGCTCTCGTCAGAAGTAAATGCAAATAAATCTACCCAGGCATCATTAAATCTTCTTCAGATAATTTTCTTTTTTTTACATTTCTCCATACTGAAAGTCTCGATAAATGCACGTCGTTTCGGCAGATATACCGGCTTCTGCGAGTGTGACTGAAAAATAACTTAAAAATCATTTTATTATTTTGAGCGATGAAAAATAATAAAGTATCATTTTATTTTTCAATTTCAAGATCATGAT